CAGCCGTTCCATGGGAGAAAGAAGCGGCAGTCTGCTTTCATAAATATTACACCCTTGGGAACTCTATGGGGCAGTTTTACTCAGTCCTATAGGGTCATTTGGGGGCAGTTCATCTCTGTCCTATAGGGTCGCTATGAGTTGGAATCTACTTGAGGGCAACAGGTTTGGGTTTTTTTGGTTTTATAGGGTCACTATGAGTAGGAATCAACACGACAGTAAGGTTTTTTTGTTTTTTTGTTTTTAAAGCTGTTTGCATTTATTCTCTATACACCCCCTTACAGACCATCACTCCACCCACTTTTTATGCCTACACTTGAGTAAATTTGCTTTCATGATGGTCACTTGTGATTCAAACTGTCAAGTCATTAGTATTCATCTCCTTATCTTCTATGATGGTGCGCTGGCTTATTTCTCTCTCTACCAGTTCAACTGCTTGCCTCTTCGATTTCCTTTGCTGGTTCTTCTTCCTCATCCCACCCACTTGGCTGGGTGATCGGCAAGCCTTCTCCAAAGAATCCACTTGTATACCTCACTAACTTCAAATACACCATATTCCAATTCAGACTTACCATCTTCTCTACCAAACAAGCACCTCTTCTCAGCTGCCCTATCTATGTTAATAACTTTCTCCAAGTCACCAGGGCTCATAGTTATTTTTGACTTATCTTCTTTTTTTTCCTGAGTCCCTTCACCAAGTTCTCTCTGTTCTCCCCCAAAAGGTCTCATGTATTCGTGAGCAAATAATCTGTACAATTCACATGACAAACAATATAAATATTAAACAAACACATGAAAAATGTTCAAACTAGAATGATCAAAGTAAGTAAATTTAAAGTATAATAGGTACCATTTATACCTATTGCATTAGAAAACAGAAAAATTTCAATGATAGGAAAAAAATTGAATGATGCCAAAGTTTTGGGGAAACTGCTATATATACATATATATATATATAGGTATATATATATACCTATATATATATATATATATATATATATATATATATATACCTACTCCTCACTTATCAACTATCTCATTATCCATCATTTTGCAAATACAACAATAGTAAAAAAATCTACTATTCAACTATTTTGCACATTAATGATCTAAGTCTCATAGTAACAGATGTTGTGATATGTTGTGAGAGTAACACCGCCTGTGATGGTTAAGGTTATGTGTCAACTTGGCTGGGCCATGATTCTCTGTGGTTTGGCAGTTGTGTAATGATGCAGTTTGGTAGTTATGTAATGATGTAGTCATCCTCCATTTTGTGATCTGATGTGGTCATCCTCCATTTCCACATAATGCTGATTTTTGCATAGCAACCTGGTCTTTGGAACATAACCATGTCGATAAGTGAGAAATATGTGTGTGTGTATAGTGTAAAATGCTTCCTAGGAAAGCATTTTGGTGAACTCTATCAAGCACCATAAGAATGTTCACATTTTTTTAACTAGTAATCCCAACTCCTGATAATTGTTTTTAATCAGACAATTCGATATGAGAAAAAGGCTATAGCTACTCAAAATGTTTTCTGCAACATTATTTTATAATAGCAAGAAATTGAAAACAACCTAATTATCCAACAATATGGGAATAATTAAGTAAATTAGAGCATAACAAGCTGTTGAAATATTATACAGCCATTAAAAATTATAACCATCAAGGAAGCCTTATATTAAATGAAAAATTATTTATCAAGTAATACTTAGAGAAGAGAAAAGAAGCAAGGCACACAAAATCACATCTATATAATTGCTGTATAATCATGCCAAAAGAAATCTCTATCCTATAGATAAAAGCTGGCAGGGAAATGAAAACAATCAGGGTGGTAGGGTGGTAGGAATAAGTCTCCTTCTTTTTTTAATTTCCTGTAATACTGTTTTCAGAATAAACAAACCTTTTTTCATCAAAAATATCTCACATATTTATCTATCCATTCTGCTCCATTCCTATTACTACCCCCACCCCACTCCAGGGCTACACTCTTTCATGCCTGGATCATGGACCCTAATCAAACTCCCTACAACCCATCTAGGCTGCAAATGCTGCCAAGTTGCCTAAAGTGCCACATTTATCATGTCACTTACCTGATCAATAACCTTCAATTGCTCCCATACTTGCTATCCTGTTTAGTTTTTAAGGCCTACATGACCTGGCTCTATATTTCACTATTCAGCCTTCTCTACTGTAACTGTTCCTACTCCTCTTCCTCTACCTCCTCCTCATCATCATCACAACTAACATTTACTAAGAGTTTATCATGTGTTAGGTTTTGTTCTAAATGCTTTGCATATATTAATTCATTTAATCCTCACAATAACCATATGAGGTAGGTACTGTCAGCCCATTTTACAATGAGTAGGGGAGTGGAGGAAGGTATTATTCCCAGCAATTCTAATGCAAACTCAAGTTTGAGAACCACTGCCCTTTGTATAATAATACCTACCTAACAGCTGTGTGCCAAGCTCACACAGCTAAAGAATGGAAGAACCTGTATTTGAACCCAAGCCAACTGACTCCAAGGTCCAGAACTCAAACAGCCACACACCTACTTAGTCTTCCCTCTGGGCCCTTGCTCCTGTAGGTCTCAGCTTTCAGTGCTTTTACCCTGCAAAGAACTTAGAGCACAGTAATACTAATCACATATTGACTATATACTATGTCCCAGGTGCTTCTTGTTTGAACCACGTATTTGACATTTTTCATCTTATGGCAACTCTTGTGAGTAAGCAAAAGCTGAGTTTAAATCCTGGCTGGCCCTTTACTAGCTGTGAGACTTTGAGTAAACTACTTAGTCCTCTGAATCACAGATTCTTTATCTAGGTCAGTGGGTCTCAAAGTACGGTCCTAGGATGAGCTGCATCAACATCACCTGGGAATTTGTTAGAAATGCAAATTCTTGAGCCCCATCCAAACTCACTAAATCACACACACTGAGGGTGGGATCCAGCCATCTGTGTGTTAACAAGTCTTCTCAGTAATTCTAATACACACTCAAGTTTGAGAACCACTGCCCTCGATACAATAATACCTACCTAACAGAGTTGTTGTGAAGATAAAACCTAACATAATATATGTAGCTCAGGGCACATAGGTTGTTTCACAAGTGATAATTTATCATTTACTGCTGCTTAAGTTTGTATGGGTTAGTCTTCTTGCTCAAGCTGTGGGCAGGGACTGTGTTTCCTGTTGCTCTTTTTCTAGTATTTCCTACCTTGCCTAGCAAAAGGCTGTACATACAGTAGGTGTTGAATAGTCTTCTTACTTTACTGACTGATCAGTCAGAGGACCATTTTGGAGAGGCACTGTAGTGCAGTGTAGTGTTCCTGAAGCTACACTGTCTGGGTCTAGTCAACCTACTAGGCAAATGAATTAATCTGTCTGTGACTCAGTTTGTTTTCTCTGTCAAACAGTGAGACTAATAGTACCTACCCCATAAGGTTATGGCAATAAAGGAATTAATATATGCAAAGTGCTTAGACTGGTACCTAGAAGAGAGCACTGTGCTTAAGAAATATTAGCATTATTTTTGTGTCATTTCACCCATTCGAGGGTAGAGGAGGCTGCATTTCTTCATTTGACAAACAAGTGAAAAATGCCTCTTGAGCAACTTCTCTGTGTCAGGCACTATGCTAGGTACAGAGAATAAAGCTATAATCAAGGTTTTATCTCCGCTCTTGAGGGTCTCTTAATATGAGAAACTTGGCAGGCCCACTAGACTGAATTGACTTCCCTAAGGACATGGTGCGAGTTAGTCACAGAGTAGGGAGATCAAGACCAGCTATAGAATCCCCACCCAAGATTCAGACCCCTGAGACATGATGCTGAGAGATCAGCAAGAAGGGTTTCATTAGGGATCCTAATTGAAGCAGGTACAATGGAAGAAGCATGAGCTTTAGGGCCAGACAAATCTGGGTCTGAATCCTGGTTCCATCACATACTAGCTGTGTGACCACAGCTAAGTTATATAAGCTTTCTGGACCTCAGACTACTCATCTATAAAATGGATAGTAAAATGGATTGTTGGGAGAAATAAATGAGATTATGGATGTAAAAAGATCCAGCCCAGTGACTGACACTTAGTAGATGATTAGTAAGTGCTGGATACCTCCCTTCTCCAATTGCCAACCAGAAAACTAATAGGTTTCTCAGCCTTTGGAGTCAAAGGAAGGCCAAAATTGCTCCTGACTACACCACCAATTCCCAGGGCATAGTAGTCACCCAGAAAGAACCCTGGATTTTTCAGGGGTCAGGAGACCCAGATTCTAGTCCTCTCCTTGGTGCCCCCATCTTAGAGACATAGAGGCACAGCTTAGAGCCTTCTCCCCTGGTTCCCCCTTCATTCCTGGAGTTTGAGTTAAAGAATCAATATAATTCAGGGGTCTCTTGTATAGTTTGGGCTGGGAAGAACTAGCTAAAAGAGTATATCAAGGAGTTTCACAAAAGAGAAGGTCCAGCCAGGCTGAAAGAGAGCAACCCACTTACTCCTTATAGTCACCTATGGGACCCCTGCAGGAATTTTAATCTATCATTAGGATTATCTGCCCCTTGGATTTTAACTAGCACCCAAGGAACAGATACCTCCAACAACTCGGGGGGAAATGCACAGCAGTAGCTGGGCAGTCCTACCTCCTCTCTTCCCCCTCCAACTACCAAATGGTCCCTGGGAAGGTAGGCACAGTTACTGCCTCTCCTTTCTGTTTCAGCACAGTCTGGTCCCATATACCCTTGTGGCTGAGCAGGGCTGCGTCAGGACTCTGAGCTGATGGGCACAATGTTCCACAGTACTGCCTGACTACTTCATATTCCAAAATGCAATCAGTTTGGTCTGTAGTCCAGCTGTCTGAGGGGCAGGCTAGATTACATCTATGACATCAAGCCTTTGGTATGGATACCAGACCAGTTTCCTCAAAGGAAACTAAGCAAACAGAAGGTCTTACCAATTTCTACTGAAGCTCCAGAGGCATTAACTCTCAACTCCCTGAATGGTCACTCACCTCCCTGACTGGCTGGTCTTCCTGTTTCCTGTTATTGGTTTCCATTTGTTCCCAGGAAATTCCTGCAAAGTAAAATTCTGATAAGTTAGGGAGCTCTGAGAAGACAGGTATCCAGATAGCCTGAAAAATGTTAAGAGGTCAGGAACCTGTCCCTGGCCAGACCTCCCAGCTGGTTCCTTCTAATCTCCCAGACAGACTATACAAATATGTACCTGTAGTGCTGTCTTTCTGCCAGGAGGTCTGCTGGGCTGTTATGGGAATATAGAGACTAAGAGAGCACTCAAGGATAGTATGGTCCAGAAACTCTGCCTTTCCCCCTCTTTCTTCATTCCCTTCCCAAATCATGTAAAAAACCAATTTAGCATGTTTGCTATTTGCTCTGGCTCTTTTCATTTGTTCTGCAGGGTGAACCTGCCCATTCCTCCTGACTCTTCCAACATAGAAAGCATCTTCTTGGAAGCTCTGGCCCTTGAGGGGGCTTTGAGGCCTGAAACTACTGCTGCTGCGCAACACTCTCCCAGGGTAAGGCAGATGGGGAGCATACCAGCACACCTCACCTGTACTATGGTGGGTCTTCCTTCTCTACTCCAAGACCCACTGGCAGATGCTGAGATAGGCTCATCTCTGGGGAACCTGAATGCCATGTTCCCCACATTACAGTAGAGTCTCTACCATGGGCATTTTTTCCTTCAGGGCTTTGCCCAAACAATTCTTCCCTCTAGCCCAAGACATATGTACCATTTGTAAAAATGTCCCTGCTTTCCTATTCTAGTTCCAAACCTAATGCAAATTTGCCTGTGAGATTCTCCTGGATTTTGCAACTTGTACCCTCTACCTAGAGGCCCAGAGCTTAGCCCAATGGGAATGCATACTTTTTCCTAAATCTCAGTGATCTTTAAAATTCCCTCTTTATCTAATGCTGCTTGTCCCATTCAAAGGTTTATTACCTTTGCCCCATTAGGCCTCCCTTTTTGGGGTAAGATAGCTGGTTAAGTGGAATGAACATAGGTCTTTGGTGTCATACTAGTTAAGACACTTATTAGCTGGATTATTTGAGGGAAATATCTCACCTTCCTGAACCTCAGTTTCCTATTGGCAAAAAAGATAATGCTATCTAACTTTGCTGGGTTACCAGATGTAAGGATAAAAGGAGATGTGCATAGAGAATGCCTAGCATAGTGCTTGGCACATAGGAGCCTCTGAATAAACAGTAGCTATGAGAAGGACTTGAAGCACTTACTGATGAAGATCAAAGATCACAGCCTTCAATATGGATTATACCTCAACATAAAGAAAACAAAAATCCTCACAACTGGACCAATAAGCAACATCATGATAAACGAAAGGATTGAAGTTGTCAAGGATTTCATTTTACTTGGCTCCACAATCAACACCCATAGAAGCAGCAGTCAAGAAATCAAATGATGCATTGCACTGGGCAAATCTGTTGCAAAAGACCTCTTTAAAATGTTAAAAAGCAAAGATGTCACCTTGAAGACTAAGGTGTGCCTGTCAAGTCATGGTGTTTTCAATCACCTCATATGCATGTGAAAGCTGGACAATGAATAAGGAAGGCTGAAGAAAAATTGATGCATTTGAATTACGGTGTTGACGAAGAACATTGAAAATACCATGGACTGCCAAAGAATGAACAAATTTGTCTTGGAAGAAGTACAACCAGGATGCTCCTTAGAAGCAAGGATGGCAAGACTACGTCTCACATACTTTGGACATGTAATCAGGAGAGATGAGTCCCTGGAGAAAGACATCATGCTTAGTAAAGTAGAGGGTCACAAAAAAGAGGAAGACCCTCGATGAGATGGATTGACACAGTGGCTACAACAATGGGCTCAAGCATAACAACGATTGTGAGGATGGCACAGGTTCGGACAGTGTTTCATTCTGTTGTACAGGGGGTTGCTATGAGTTGGAACCAAATCGACGGCACCTAACAACAACAATGGGTGGCGCAAATAGTTTGCGCTTGACTACTAACTGAAAGGTTGGCAGTTCAAACCTACCCAGTGGCACTGCAGAATAAAGGCCTGGTGATCTGCTTCCATAAAGATTACAGCCAAGAAAACCCTGAGATGGGCTGGAGCTCAGTTCTACTCTGTAACACTTGGTGTCACCATGTGTTGGAATTGACTTGATGGCTTTTTTTTTTTTTGGTGGAAAAGATTGGACTCCCTGTGTGGTACAAATGGTTAACATACTCAGTTGCTAACCAAAAGTTGGGAGGTTCAAGTCCACCCAGGGGCACCTCAGAAGAAAGACCTGGCAATCTACTTCTAAAAGGTCACAGCCATTGAAAACCCTATGGAGCACAGTTCTATTCTGACACAAATGGAGGAGGCATAAGTTGGAATCAATTTTATGGCAACTGGTTATGGAGAAGATTAGGTTTATTTCCTGGCTCCAGCTTTCGGGCCAGCAGTCCTACTTGTATCTGCCACGTCAGAGAAGCTATAACCACTTGTGCTTCAGAATCTGCCTTGATGCCTTCGTGAGATGTCACTGCCCTCAAAGATACCATTACTTGTTCAACCACAGTGGGAGCCAGGATTTCCTGTCCATGCCCTGTCTATCCCTGTGGAAGTGCTGAGTAAAGAGCAGTAGCCAAACCAGACAAAGTCCTGTACTAACTCCCAACCTCCTTCCCAGATCCCACTATCACCTCACTTTTTTTTGCCCTGAGCCACTTAGGTTACTGAAAATTGCCTGTGCCCTTTGAACCAAAGAGGTAGCTATCTCCATGTCTTGTTGCAGATGGGTATTGTGGGGGAAACTGGCTGCTCAGATGGAAGTTATACTACTAGATGGCATCCTGCCACACTGGAGAGGAGCTGGGCTTGGCAATCAACTTATGGAGAGGCATAATTAGGAGCTTGGCCTCTGAAGCTAGACCACATGGATTCAAATCCCAGAACTGCCCTTCACTAGCTATGTGACCACAGGCAAGCCACTCAACTTCTCTTCATCTCAATTTCCCCAGCTATACTAAAGTGATAATAATAGTACCTATTTCTTGATTGTTTTGAGAACTAAATGAGTTGATATATATAAAGCACCTACAACAGTACCTGGTGCACAGTAGGCACTCAAATGTTAGATATCATTATTATGTTCAAACCTTGGCTCTGCCACTTTCTAGATTTATTACTTCTCTGAGCCCAGCTTCCTCAGCTGTAAAATGGAGATCCTATTATAACTTATCTCATTCCGACTCATAGCAACCCTATAGGACAGAGTAGAATTGCCCCATAGGGTTTCCAAGGAGCGGCTGGTGGATTTGAACTGCCAATCTTTTGGTTAGCAACCAAACGCTTAACCACTGTGTCACCAGGGATCCACTTATCTCATACAATTGTTAAATTGAAATAATCTGATCGTGTATGCAAAACTAACTCTCACAAAGCATGAGGGGTATGTGTATGTCTCTGTGTGTTTTGATTTCAGTTCTCCTAACAGCACTGACTAAGTGGTTAAGAGCTACGGCTACTAATCAAAAGGTCAGCAGTTCGAATCCACCAGCCGCTCCTTGGAAACCCTAGGGGGCATTCTACTCTGTCCTATAGGGTCACTATGAGTTGGAATTGACTCAACGGCAATGGGTTTTGGTTTAACAGCACTGAACAGGAGCCAATTAGCTCCTCCCCAACCTCCTCCAGGGGCCATAAGGAGCAGGATCTCAGCCCTACCTCAGATAGCCAACATTACAATTGATTAAGTCATCTGAGCCAGGATATCCTAGCCCATGCTGCAAGGTTTCCAAGTGTTTGGGGGTGGGGGACCCAGGTGGCAGGGTAGAAAGGGCCATGAAGTGGCTCCTAGATAGCCATCCACATGTCTGAAAGCCTATTGTCTAAGCAGACCTGTTAAGCCAGCCTAGCAGGCATTAGGAACCCAATGTGTCCCTCCCTCAGAGTACAAAAAGGACAGGCATATTATAGGCATAGGCACATCTGCATTGCTGCTGCCAACAGCTGCAACTTGCAACTTGCACCTCCTTCCCTTGCAGTGTTTGGTTGCACAGTGGTTAAGCACTCAGTTACTAACCAAAAGATCAGCGGTTCGAACCCACCAGCTGCTACTCAGGAGAAAGATGTGGCAGTCAGCTTTCGTAGAGATCACAGCCTTGGAAACCCTATGGGGGCAGTTCTACTCTGTCCTATAGGGTCGGTATGAGTTGGAATCAACTCAATGGCAACAGGTTTGGTTTGTATTTTTGGTTCCCTTACAGAGTTGCTCGTCCTGAGCTGATGCCTCTGCAGCCATCACCTCCTCACTTTCCCCTCAACTTCAGACCCCTTTTTCTATGTCTACTTGCATGTCCTTCTTTCAGCAAATTTTTCTCAAGCTAAGCCAAAATTCTCCCTCCCTGTTTTTTAAAAAATCACACTTATAAGGTAATTACTCTCTGGCAGTCACTGTTCTAAGTGCTTTACACGTGTTACATCATTTAATACTCATAACCAACTTATAAAGTAGATCCTGTTATTACTCCTATATTTTAGATGAATAAATTTAAGGACTGTAAGTTCTGGAGAACAGATTGAACCCAGGCTGTCTGGTTCCAACATCAGTGCCCTTAAATATTATTTTATATTGCCTCTCTTACTTCTTTCAACATTTTATTATAAATATTTTCAAACATACAGAAAAGTTGAAAGAATTTTACAGTGAGCACCCATATCCCACCACCTAGATTCTACAATTAACATTCTGCTATATTTGCTTTATCACATGTCTATCTATTCATCCCTCTATCCATTCACCAATCTTTCTTAAATTTATGATACATTTAGAGTGAGCTGAAAATAACTTTATCCCTATAATTTGAAAGCTCAAATGAAATGGACAAATTCCTTGAAAGACACAAAATACCAAAGCTCACTCAAAAGGAAATAGATATCCTAAATGGCCCCATATCTATTTAAGAAATTGAAGTTGTAATTAAAAATCTTCCCACAAAGAAAACTCCAGGCCCAGAGGAATTCAATAATAAATTATACCAAACATTTAAGGAAGAAATAATACCAATTCTATACAAACTCTTCCTAAAAATAGAAGAGAATATTTCCCAACTCATTCTATAAGGCCAGTTTTACCCTGATATCAAAAGCAGACAAAGATATTACTAGAAAACTACAGACTAAATCCCTGATAAACAAAGATGTAAAAATCCTTAACAAAATATTAGCAAATCCAATCTTGTAACATATAAAAAGGATAATACATCATGACCAAGTTGGATTGGGAATGCTAGTCTGGTTCTTACTTCAAAAATCAATCAATATAATTCACCATATCAGCAGACTAAGAGAGAAAAAACTATATGATTGCCTCAATAGATATAGAAAAAGCATCCACTCCTGATAAAAACTCTCAGTAAACTAGGAATAAAAGGGAACTTCTTCAACCTGGTAAAGGACATCTACAGAAAACCTACAGCTAACGTCATACTTAGTAGTGAAAGATTGGGAACAAAGCAACAACGTCCACTCTCACTAGTTTTATTCAACATTGTATTAGAGGTTCTAGAAAGTGCCAAAAGACCCCCCCCCACAAAAATGCGTACATAGTGAAAGGAAGAGATAAAATTCCTTCTATTTGTAGATGACATGATTGTCTATATAGAAAAAATTTTTAAATCTACAAAAAGCTACTAGAACTAATAAGTGTTGTAAGCAAGGTCACAGTATACAAGGCTAATATACAAAAATCAATTGTATTTCTATACAATGGCAACAAAGAATTTTAACTTGACATTAAGAAAACAATACCATTTATAGTAGCATCAAAAAACATGAAATCTTAGGGATAAATATAAAAAAAGTGCAAGATCTGTATGCTGAAAACCGCAAAATAAGTTGCATCCATCAGTATTCAGTATATGATGGCATGCATATCACTAAAGAAAAATTCTGTGTTTGTTTATGATATTTTTAAGATAAAATTTACTTTCGGTGAAATACACAAATTTTAAGTGTACATTTTTGAGTTTTGACAAATGTATACACCGGTGTAACTCAAACCCTTATCAAGATATAGTACATTATCATCACCCCACAAAGTTCCCTCCTGCACTTTCCCAGTCAATCCAAACCCTGTGCCACCTCCCATAGGTACCACTTTCTGATTCTTTTTTCTTCATAAAATAGTTGTTTTAGAACTTCATATAAAAGAAATCAGGCAGTGTGTACTCTTTTACGTAAGGCTTCTTTCATTCTCAAAGCTCCTTAAAAAAAAAACATATTGAGCAGTTTCATTTTGCGCGCTTCAGAAGTGTCTGCCTATATACAACAACAGTTCACTAAGCAATTAACTTCTGGCTTGAGTGCACCAGCCAAAAGGTGGCACCAAGAAAGCTACGGGGAAGGGATCCAGCAGTGAGTTGACCAGGACACACGGGGTCCTCCCAGAAGTACCTTGAGGGATGGTGGTAGCAGCAGCCAGTCTAAACCTGGGTCTCTGAAGTGGGGGAAGTATTTGACCTTTAGGAAACCAGACAGGTCATATCTCTGAAAGCAAAGCCTGAGGAGCAATTGCAAATTTTGCAGCTCCAGATAGTTTTCTAAGCAGGAAACGGAAGGGAATAAATGCTATTCTGTATCAGACACTGTGCCTCGTACTTTGTATACACGGTACCATTTGATCCTCACAACCGATCCATGAGGTTGCCATTATTTTCCCCTACTTTAGAGATGAGGTAATAAGACTTTTCATAGTCCTGGTCATTTTATGAGTTAAAAAATTTTTTTTTTCACTTTAGAGATCACATAACTACAATTTTTGGTGATTGAATGACTTGGTTAAGGTCACTCAGATACTAATTATACAATCAGCATATAAATCCCAGTTCTGTCCATTTTATGAGGCAAAAGTTATTTTTACCTAACTCTAAAAGATGAGGTAACTGCAATTTTGGTGGTTGAGTATCTTGCTCAAGTTTACTAAGCTACCATCTGTTGAAGCCATGTCTATACAGTTCTAAGGAATTATAATTGTTATATTTTCAAATGATTTACCTAGCTTTCTCCACACAAAGAGAATAATGAAGCTCACCCTTCCAAAAACCGAGTTCTCACCTGCACTGCCGGCTTCCTGGGTTTCCAAGTATTGCCGGGTGCCAAGCTGTTGTCCTCAAGGGTACTATGCTGAGGATTATGATAGCAAGCTGAACACCGGATGCACTGGTGGTGGTGGCATCGGCAGTTGTAGCAGTTTGGCACCATATTTCTTTTTAGCAAGGAAGGACAGATTTCCCCAGTACAATATATGCAAGGGTCATGGACTACAGCTCCCTGAACACTGCAGGAGTAAGAGCAGGTACTGTGGTAATCAAAATCACCACAGTGTAGTGGCTTACGACACACGGATTGTTCTAGGCCTTTGCTTGCAAAGCATTCGAGGTAAGTTGGAGTTTCTAACTGAAGGGGTGACACGGAATGATATGACTGGTCTGTGGAATGATATGATTGGTCCAGGAGATGGCGTCTCAAGTCTCTATAGCTGGAGCTCATTGGCTGGAAGTTTTGGTCTACAGATTTTGTTCTCTGGGTAAAAGTCTTATTGCTATGAGTGGTTAAACCTGGCAAATGAGACATGGATAAAGATTTGCTACTCTCTTCAAAGAACTTTCTTCTGTCTGCAAAGGGCAAGAGGATGGCTTCCCCCTCAGCTTGGGCAATAGAAGCCATCAATTCATTGTTGTCACCTGGGTTGGAAGGGCCATCCATGGCTAGTGCCACGTGTGGCTGCAGGTTATGCTCTGGAGACCATCTCCAATGACCGCCATGGATTCCATGGTGAGCACTTGTTTTCTCAGAGTCTGAAGAGGATGGTTTAGCTTGCCACCAGGTGTTCAGGCCCCAAGAGGACTGGCCAGACCTCTGGCCAGGGCTTATTCGTCCCTCCATGTCTGGTCTAGATTCATGGCTCTCAGGGGCTTGACTAAGGTACTCTGAAGACCTAGCCCTGAGTATCGTGCTCTTGTTGAAGAGCTTGTCTCTGGGGCTAGGTGGTTTTTTATATGAAGACAGAAGAGATGCATTAGAGTTAGGAAGTGGAAGACTTTCTGGAGGCTCCTCAGTCTCTTCCACTGGCTCTTTAGTGTCACACAGCTGTGACAAGGGACCCTTACTTTTCTGGAGCTGGGCCTTCCTCCTCTGAATTTCATTACGTAGATTGGTAGCAAAACGCTCACTCTTCCGCCGGTTTTGGATGGAGCGGCCCCGGGTCCCTCCATTTCGCTTACCACCCATTCGGCCACACTCCTTGGGCTCAGTGCCCACTTCTTCAATTGCCTCTGTGCCACTGGCTACTTTAGTGGTTGAAGAACAGTCCCTGGTTTGATGAACAGGGAGACCAGAGGCAGAGGGCTGCTGGCTTGCCAATTCACTACCTCCTCTGATTGGGTCCAGGAAACCTCTTTCTGGAGGGTGTCCATCAGCATCTCCATGTGGAGAACTGCTTGGGCTCTGGTGTCCTGAACTCAAAGGCCTATCATCCATTGGCCTGGTTTTTCTCTCTTTGCTGAGCTGGTCCTGGGCTCTTTCTGCAGGGGGACATGGACTTTTCTTCCCTGTGTGGCTGCTATGTAAGGGGGACAGAGTCCACTGGTGCCCATCCTGCTCAGATGGGAGCCCCATCCCATTGCTGCCCCTAGTATCAAGGTGCACATGCTGCAGGTGGGATTGCAACAGCTGTTCAGGGGCACTATGACGATGCTCTGCAGGCCTCGTGAGATGTGGAGGGTTGCTGACAGAAGAAGTCTTAGTTTGCTCTGCTGAAGCCTTGTTGAGTGGGCTGCGATCTGTGCTGGAAGCCTTGCCACAGGTTTTTGGGTAACCAGCAGCTTTGGCCGAGGCCTCCATCAGTAGATGTTCACAGCCCTGCTGGCTGGAGTCAGGAGGCTGGCTGAGCTCACAGTTCTGATGGCCCTCACTCGTCTCTTGGTCTTGTCTGCTGAGGCAGCAGAACCTGTTAGTGTTCCTTGGGGACAGCATGGTCTCTGAGCTCCGTTTCCCCTTCTGTTGTAATGAGTCTACAGGCTCAGAAGCCCTGCACTGCTCTCCATTGAGGAGTTGGGCTCTGGAGGCCTGAAGGCTGTCTCGCCTCACTGGAGGTTGTGGTGGGCCCCTTGACACTTTGGCAGGCCCTGAGTGGTGGCCCTCCTGTGGGCGGAATGACATCTGGGAGCTGGCAGTTGGGTGGCACCCGTTAGTGTGTCGGCCACCGCTACAGCTCTCAGCCACATTAAGCCGGCCGTTGGGGGCCTTAGCTGGCCCTGCGCCTTGCATGATGCAGTCTGCAGAGGCTGGCTCTTCTGGCCTGAGGGAAAGGGCACAGTCAGAGGCATTTGAGCTGGCTGAGAAGGAGCTGTAGGCTGAGTCACGCTGGTTGGGGTACATGTTCTGGTCAATGGGCAAGAGGTGGCCCTCATAGTTGGCTTGGCCTGGTTGCTCCAGGCTCTCCATGCTGCCAATGGAGCTGCTTTTCTCAGTGCTGCAGTGCCGGGAGAGTGGACACCACTGCACACACACGTCACTGTAAGACACAGGGCATAGTCATTAGCTAGCCAAATCACCAGATCCTTTTCCCACCTTGGCTAGCCCTGCCATAGGAGAAGGCAGGACTACCCACAGGAACTCATGCCACAAATGAGAGGAAGGTAAGGCAAAAAGAAAGGAAAACAGGGAATGAGATGGACACTGGGGCACCACAGGGATGTGGTAAAGGAATGGGGACCAGACAGCATATGGAAGAGGGATGGGGAAACATTCCAAAGACTATAAGTGTGAGAAGTCCATGGGGATTGTGTTGTTTCCCTGTCATCAGCCAGTCTGGAATTGCTTCTGGGTTGTCCCTGTCCCTAGGGAGTTAGCATGCATCTCTCTGCCAGGAGAGACAATCACCAAATATCAGCATTAGAGAGAGGCCCTCAAGGACTGATTCAATTTCAGCCAGAGCATTTTGTAAATTAGTGGTTCTCAAACTTTAGTGCACATCAGAACCACATGGAGGGCTTGTTAAAGCACAGGTTACTGGCCCTCACCCCTAGAGTTCTGTCTGCATGAGGCCTGAAAAGTTGCACTTTTAACAAGTTCCAGGGTAATGTTGGTGCTGCTGGTTCAAGGACCACACTTTTGAGAATCACTGGTGTAAAGCAAGCGCAGCAAAAGGAAGTGATTTGGAGGAAGTGATTTTCTCAGAACATCCAGCTAGCTAGTGGAACAGAAAGGACCAAAATTTAGGTGTTCCCTGTTCTTCTTTTCTTGATAATAATCCTGACCATTTCCTGAAGACTTACAATGTGCCAGGCACTTTACAATGTCTCACTTCTTGCAGAAGGGGAAAGATTATTATCCTCACTTTACAACTGAGAAAACAGGAGCTTCTCTAATATAAAGTAAACCAACAAGCTCTCAAAGTTGCTAAAGAAGCAGAGCTGGGATTTGAACCCAGGCCTCTGTGACTTCAGTGCCTTAGCTCATCTGTTCTATCATCTGTTAAAGGGGAATAATAATGACATCTATATCAGAGGGCTGCTGTGTAGAAGAAATCAGATCATAAATGTAAAGCCCTTATTACAGCTTGGGCACCTAGCAAGGGTTCAATATGTGGTGGCGTCTGCTATCATGGTTGCTGTTGTTATTGTTATTCGCACAATCTCTTCTGCTATTATTGATACTATAGTGTCCCCTGCCTGCCCATGTCTCACTCGTCCCCCACACCAAAGCCAAACCGGGGAGACAAAGGAAGGGGCTAGGATCAGATGCTATCTTGAATTTTAAATACCGTTTCCCCCACACAAAAACAAACTGAGCCAAGTTATGCCAGTAACTCCCTATGGCTAAAACCCCAGAGGCTGCAGGCTGCTCTCAGAAAGGCCACAGTTCAGAAGGCCAGAGTTGAGCTATGGCAGGAACCCATGAGGCCCTCAGGTCAGCCTCCCCTAACTCTTGCTCCCTGCCTTGCTCCTCACCTACTATGCTCAACTGGCCTCTATGCTAGGAATTCATCCATTCCTTGTTGGCAAGGGGACATGCTATTCACTCTACCACCCTTCCTGCTGAAAACAAAACAAAACAAAACAAAACAAAACACACCTCCCCACTCAAATAAGAGCCAAGCTCAGAATACGGTTCTGTGCATTTTACCAGAACAAAACTGCCTCTGCTCTGAGCCCCTGGCTTCCAATGTCAAATAAAGTCACCAAGTAGGAGGAAACTCAACCCTTAGCTTCCTTGAGCCACCTCAACATAAATCCTTTCTTAGAGGGAAGATCTTGTTGTAGAAAGGAAAAGGAACCTTTGGTGGCTCTTAGCTTGCTGAAAAATTTTTATGCCTCTTCTGGGAAAATGTTTCAACAAAAACAGATAGCACAGCCACCACATCAAAGATCCTGAATAGAGTGATCCTCATCGCAGGGAAACTGTTATTTAAGGAGGTCTTCATTATGAAGTCTTTGGCTCTGTGGTAGAGCTGATAAACACTGGATGAGATTACCAGTGAGTCAGTGTAGATAGAGATGAGGACAAGAACTGAGCGCTGGGCCCCTCCTGGGTTAAGAGGCCAGGAAGGAAACAGAAAAAGAGACTGAGAAGGAGCAGCCAGTGAGATAGGATGAAAAGCAGGAGAGTGTAGTGTCTTGCAAGTGAAGTGAATAAGTATTTCAAGGAAATATTTTCCAGAAGGAAAGGGACTGGCCCAAAGTCACACAGAGAGTTAGCAGTAGACTAGGACTAGAACCCAGGTTCTCTAGACTCCCTGTTCATTTTCCATTCTACTGCTATAGGCTCTATAATATCCAACAAGAACTAGAGCAGAGGAAGATTTGCCTGGTTGCCTACCTTCCAGCCTATCTTGAGGGGAGGGCTCTAGACTCACCTTGTGTTGCAACCTGAATGCCAGGACAAACTGAAGGCTTCAGAAGGGAAATGCATGGTGGTGGCCGCTTCAGGGCATCCCTCCAATAGCTTGGCCACGTGCCATGAATGTGGCCTACTGACAGGGGTGTTTCTCCTATAAGCGGGAAAGGGACAGGAAGTTAGCTTAGGGAATCAGAGCTGAAATCACTTCCCAAGCAGCTTCCGCCGCACCCCTTCTTTCCCTCAAATGAAGCAGAACATCTTGCAAGGAGTTGGTGGGTGTGGGAATCTTAGTGGCCCTCCTCACCTCCCAGTACTCAAATCTCCTTCATACTGAGGGTGATTCCTGGAGATACGGAATGTCAGCTTCACGGGGCTCTTTTGTTCACTGATGTATCCCAAGCACCTACAACAGTGCCAGACACGTCCAAGCCCGTTGCTATCGAGTCGATTCCGACTCATAGCGACCCTATAGTAGATACTTAATAAATATTTGTAGAATAAATGAGTGCTGCTGTCCAATGAACAGTGAGCCTAACTTCACTTCCCTTTGAGGAAAATATATTCAATATGGCCAGTCTTCCCATTTTTCTGAGAAAGGAATAGGCAAGTGATTAAGAAGTTTGAACAAGTCAATACTGGGCGTGGAATTCTCCAATTTTCACTCATTCATTCAGTAAGTATAAGTATGCTTACTGTGTGCCATCTATGCTTAGCTCTGAGACTACAGAGATGAATCAAATACAGTCTTTGCCCTTGAGAGCTTACAGCTTAGTGAAGGAGACAGAGCAAACTCAAACACAGTGTGGTAAAGGCATTGAGAGAGTAAAGGGTAAGGTGGGCACTGAAATGAGACACCTGAGTTTATAAACAAAGTGGTATCAAACCAAAAAAACCCATTGCCATGGGGTTGATTTCGACTCATAGTGACCTCATAGGCAGAGTAGAACTACCCCATAGGGTTTCGAAGGAGTGGCTGGTGGATTTGAATTGCCAACCTTTTGGTTAGCAGCTGAGCTCTTAACCACTTGCCACCAGGTGGGGGGGTCCAAACCCTGTGAGGGAAAATAGAACAAAGTGGTGAAGGACACAGTGCTAGGCTGAGAAAGGGGACTGGCTGCTCAGCAGGCCAAGTGTAAAGAAAGGGAAAATAGGTCTGAGGCCAAGGCCCTGAAGGGAGCCACAGGATCTGCCTGATGCTGAAGGTTGCAACCACAACTCTTGTTCTGACTGTTTCAGACAGGATCCATCCCTGCTCCCTAGCATACTTCACATGAACAGATGCCACATTTGCAAGTGGGGAAGAACGGTATGGGGAAGAGCACACATGAGGCATGGGAAATGTAGAAGATAAAGCTATGATTGATGAAATACAGAATGAGGGAGTGGGGGGTGGGGTGAGAGAGAGAGGGTGGAGCAGGCCAGACAGATGATAGAGATAAGAGGGAAAAACAAATGACAGAAAGGGAGAAAACTCAGAGAAAGATTACAGAGAAGTTCACAGTAGAAAGAAAAGAATGATAGAAAGAGATGAATGAGACAGTTAAGAGAAATGATAAATAAGTAGATGACAGAGATAAATAGATGATAGATTATTTATTAATTTACTATTATTATTTATTATCAATTTATTTATTTAGTTTATTCACTCATTTAGTGTGCCAAGCTCCATACTAGGCACTGAGGACACAGAGCTGAATAAGATAAGTCCCCTGTTTTCAATAAGTTTGCTATATAGGGAGATAAATTAGCTCTCTCTCAGTAATAGTGGATAAAATCAAGCTGGATGATTCAATCCTAGCTGGAATCCCCCACCCCCCACCCCCCACACACACCCTGGCAGAAATACAGAAGATCACAGCAGTGCAAGGCTCTCCAGGGATGAGGCCTAAAATGGAAGTCCTGAGGAGAAATGGACTTTCTGGGGAAAACATGGAGATTGACTAGTAACAAGCCAGACACAAGCAGGTGCAAAAGGAAGAGCAACGGAAGCTGTTCACCAAAGGTCAGAAACCAGGGCCACAGGTCAGCAGCAGTGGCTAAGATTTATGGGAGAGGAAAGCCAGGTGAAGCTCCCACTTGGTAATCACATTGTTCTAACATGGATCTCAGAGTGCCCAAAGGGGAGGCTGAAGATGCAAGAAGGCCTGGGTGGTGGGGGGTTGTGCCTGCTCCAGTGTCTCCCACAGAAAGCCCTGATACTGGGAAATCTCTCCTGCTGCTGTTATCTGATACTCATTCCATCAACAACTATTTGTAGGGCATCTGCTATACACCAGACATGCTTCTAGGCCCAGAGGATACAGCGGAAAACAGGGTGCCTCTCCTATTTTGGTTCCTTCTTCCATATCCAGGATTCCAGAAATTCTCCTGAATCCAGGGTTTAAAATATGGGTAGTCAGCCTTTATACCACCTTCTCCCCAACTGTCCAATCCTTCACTGAGTTCTATGAGTCTTCTTTTATGATGTGTCTCTGGATTCAACTCTCTCTGTCTTCCCTCTCCTCTCCCCTCCCCTCCCCTCCCCTCCTCTCACTCTCTCTGTCCATCCCATCCCACAGAATGGCACTTCTCCTCCACAGAGGCCACCATCACCTCTTGTTCCAGTCCAGGTCCTTCACACTTTATGTCCAAAATACTGCATCAGCCTGCCAGCCAGTCTCTCCTTATTTCACCTCCAATCACTGCTTTAAGATCACACCACCTCAAACATCAACTGAATTGGGGCACTTTTCTATTCAAGAGCACCTGGCTCTTGTTTCTTATCCTGCATCAAATATAAACTGGGTCACAGTGGGGCCAGGATGGCGGAGTAGTCAGACGATTCCGGTGGAACCTCTTACAACAAAGACCGGAAAAAACAAGTGAATTGATTATATATGACAATCCAGGAGCCCTGAACATCTAAGTCAAAGTTGAGAAATTGGACTGAGTGGCAAGGGGAGGGAGAGACAGTTCAGAAGCAGCAAGGAGTTGCCAGACCTGACCTGGTGAGAGCCTGAGCTCTCCAGGCCTGATCAGCTCATGGGTGCGTGGTGAGGCAGGCAAGCAGGAGTGCTCAGGAGGCGCGTTTTCCACACCGGGAGAGACCCAGCACCAGAGAGTCTACTCGGCCAACCAGAACCAGTGAGAAGCAGCCCTCGATTGGAGAAAGATAAGTACTGGTGTATGGCCTACTGCATGGATCAAAAACACCCCCTTTAGGGAAAAAAACTCTCTCCCATTTACCTCCCCACTCCCTGCTCTGCACTGGGTCCCAGACCGGTTTCAGCCATTGCTGAGTCCCCTGGGCCGGAAGTAGGATCCGTCACAAGCCCTGAGCCGTTCTCCCTGCCTTGGAGAGTGAAAAAATTAACAAACAGGGAAAAAAATAAACTGTTGGCTCCCCTAAGCCAGGAACCCAGGGTAGGCACTGCTCCTTTGCTTAGGCACAGGCATATGGGATCCATGGATTTTGATGCCTTTCCCCCTGCATAGACTTGTGTGGGCCCATTTCAACAGTGTAGGCCCTCATTACTGCAGTACAACAGGGTATATACCTGAAGTCTAACTTGAACTGTTTCAGCTGTGAAGTTGCATGTTCATGACATCTGACACTGCTCTGCCCATTAAGTAGGGTATTCACCTACCCACATCAGGGGCCTGAGGACTGGTGGCTCCATCCATGCCACATGGCCAACTGCGATAGGGGCCCATGAATAAGAGGTGCTCCCAGTCCTTAGAGCCAACAGCATTAGGTGCTCATAGTCTGGCTGCAAAACCCACCCACCTATGAGTTCTAGGGAACAGGGACATGCCTTCCTCCTGGAACTCGGGGGCAGCCATCAGTCCCCTGCTTTGCTCAGAGTGTGTCCCCCTGCTGCAGCCAGATGCCTGTGCCTACACCAATCACCCATGCCTGTCTAGGACTGTAGGTGAGTGCCTACATCACACACTTGGTGGCTATCTACCTGGGCACCTGAGCGGAATCCATACAGGAGGAGTGGGTGGACTCCTGAGCTCACATACCTAGTAACAAATCTAACCACACGGTGGAGAACATTAGCGCTTCAACGGTGCCAATAATCAAACTAGCTCATATGAGCAGCCTATTTGGGCATATCAAAACAAAGCAAGAAGTTAGGACACAGTAAGCAAACATAAAATAAATAAATATAATAGCTTATTGATGGCTGGGAGACATCAGTCAATATCCAATCACGTAAAAAGGCAATCTATGATGGCTTCAGCAAGCTCCCAAAATAAAGAATCTAAAATTTTCCAGAGGAGGAAAATTTCTTGAAATTACCAGAGGCAGAATAAAAAAGATTAATATACAGAACTTTTCAAGAAATTAGGAAGGAAATTAAGCAAAACCCAGAACATGCAAGAGAGCAAATTAAAAAGATTAGAAAAGAGCATAATGACAAATTTAACAGGCTGCAAGAATCCAGAGAGACACCAATCAGAAATCCAGAAGATTAACAATAAAATTTCAGAATTAGACAATTCAATAGAAAGTCATAGAAGCTGAACTGAGGCAATGGAAGTCAGAATTAGTGAGACTGAAGATAAAGCACTTGACACCAATTTATTTCAGGGAAAATCAGATAAAAGGATTTTTAAAAACTGAAGAAACCCTAAGAATTATGTGGGACTCTATCAAGAGGAATAACCTACGAGTGATTGGACTACCAGAATGGAGGGGATAACAGAAAATACAGAGAGAATTACTGAAGATTTGTTGGCAGAAAACTTCCCTGATATTGTGAATGATGACAAGATATCTATCCCAGATGCTCATTGAACCCCACATAAGGTAGCTCCCAAAAGAAAGTCATCAAGACATATTATAATCAAACTTACCAAAAGCAAAGATAAAGAGAGAATTTTAAGAGCAGCTAGGGAGAAACGAAAAGTCATCTACAAAGGAGAGTCAATAAGAATAAGCTCGGACTACTCAGCAGAAACCTTGCAGGCAAGAAGGCAATGAGATGACATATATAAAGCCTTGAAGGAGAAAACCTGCCAGCCAAGAATTTTATATTCAGCAAAACTGTCTCTCAAATACGATGGTGAAATTAGGGCATTTTCAGATAAACAGAAGTTTAGGGAATTTGCAAAAATCAAACCAAAATTACAAGAAACTCTAAAGGGAGTCCTCCAGTTAGAAAA